AAAAAACAAAAAAACAAAAACAAAAACAGCAAATAAATAAATACATAAATAAACAAAAAGTGAGTTCCAGCAAATGAATAATCAATTTATTTAAGCTGAATAATATATTAACCACCTCTGGACAAGATGTGAAAAACGCTTATCATATTTTGTGTGTATTGTCACACTTCTGGACCAAATACCAAAAAAACTACTACTCACTCTTACAGTCGTATAAAGCGTTTATTTTCACCACATCTCTTGCACTGAATCTGCCCTCTGGAGTACCAAACTCCATGTTCTCGTTACCGATAGCTACAATGGTCGGGTTACCGTTCTTCGTAAACGATCTTCGACTATAGTGCATAACGGATTGATAGTCATAAGACACGCCCAACTCATCAATCGTTCGCCAACTGTACTTGTCAAACTGATCTTTGGCAACTTACAGGAAAGAAAGAAAGAATGAAAGAAAGAAAGATGATTTTCGTACAGGCTAGCTGGTGATTCTACCTGAAATAAATAGAATTAAACTGGTATAATACATTATCAATTTAATGCAATCTGTCAAATCTGTTATCATTAATTTCACCCAGCAGAAGAATACATATAGGCCATAGCGTAATACCACTTTACGATAGTGACCTCGTTATTATGGCCACTTGTAAGACTCGAGGAAAGCGTTTAGGCTGTCGTTTCCTGTGCTATTCCTGTTTAGACGGGGACTAAGGCAGATTCCTCCCTCCCTTTCTGAAAACTATTCTGTCCTGTCAATATTTGGATTCATCATTTATTTACGATATTTTGATTCCATTTTCCACCTGGGACATGGCATCATTCGTCGTCTTTCCCATTATCGTTTGGGCCTCCAAAAAAATCCTCCTACAGATCTCCATAGCTCCCGCCCCGAAAGAGCGACACTTGTTGATATGAATTAACTCGATCGTTTCTATATACCTTTCCAGTCATTATCATGTCACACAAAATTGATGGATGTAAAAAGCTTGCGGGGAGCTCTTAAATTGATCCGCTATATAAACGGGTTTGCATTTTGGACTACATGTATGTACCTGTATGAAAGTTAAACAGTGTATAGTAATTCCGT